CGATGCTATTCTTGTTGGATTTTTTCTATTTTTCTGACAACAGATTTTATTGTTAGAACAGAAGATATTTTTCTGTTTTATTTGAATGTATGTGACGCCGCTCTCCAAGCCGAGACACGTTTCTCACGCCATCTTATCTCTGCCACTTTGTTGTGCTCGGCCAATGTTCAGACTGCCTTCATCTGATCGTGGAGCCGTGTTTCGCATTCTTTTCGTTTCCTTTAGGAAAAACCGAGTACGTAGTAGGTACGTACGTGTTTCACATTCATTCCTGAACCAAAACAAACAAGTACGATTTGATGATCCCAACAGCTCCCTTTGCTTTACTAGAACAGATCGAAAGGCGCGAATTTCTCCCATTTATTCCACACACACGTTCACAAAGAGAGATGGAAGGACAAAAAAAAGAAGGCTTTCGAGCTGTAAAGCTCGAGCTTTCCTCGCCATTCCAATGGCCGGCACGTACGCCGACGAGCCGTCACGGCACTGGCCGCCAGGTCGGCTCCACAAGGTCGTCTCGTCGACCACCGTTCGCCGTGCGTCGACCAGCAACGAGCTCGTTCCGTGTCCGTCTGCCTCCGTTCAACGCCTAACTAACTACTCCCTCCATTTTTATATACAAAGCCACTATCGAATTTACAATTTGCAACTATACAAGGCCATTAACATCAATTGAGGTAAAATTGATAAGGCTTGCCTCGTAGTAGCAACCGAGAACATTAATACCCCTTACATGCATGTTGGAGTGAGAGGGTTGGTGTGCATGCACCATATTAACTACCCACAATAAAAATAACATAGGTGATAACATCACATTTATCTAGGCAAAATAGATAATGTTACATGTAATTAATGAAGAAAGAGATGCATGTAGTAACATAGCTAGTTACTGTAACATCACACATATCAAGAAAAGATGAGTCTACAACCTAATAAATGAAGTTATGCATAACACAACACATATGTTATTACCCATTGTGGAGGTACTAGTAACATGTGCATGTTACTACTCTAAGTTACTCCCCACTATGACTAGTCTCAACCAACAAGGAGTGAGAGTTGTCTTGTTGTGCGTTGAAGAGCAAAATGCACATTGATTAACACGTCAAGCAAGAAGAAAAGACTAGCTTGCAACATTAACTTAAGTAGGCATTAATTTCTACCTTGGTACCTGTAATATGAGTTTGTGGTCTTGTATATAAAAATGGAGGAAGTAACTAAAGCGCTCAGATGTGAGCTCAGCTACGACAGTCGACAGCAACCTATACGCGACGGGGTAGACCACGGGACCCGGTCGACGCGACACCCGTGGGGGCGCGATGGCGGTGGATGTCCGGAACCCATGCTGCACGGACCGGCGACGACGACGACTCCTCGCTGCCGATCGGATCACGAGCCTGTCCGGTCCGCCTCTCCCTTTCTGCACTTGGTCCGGTCGGCCGCTGCTCGAGCTAGCGCCATGCGAAATGGACATGGAATTTCAATCTTCAGAATGTGGCTACGGTTGATTTGCACGTTGGAGTGGAGTGGAGCCTAGTTTGGCCACGACATGCATCAGTGTGTCGGTCAGGAGCCATGAGGATTGAGGCCGACCGACGAGCGGGATACGCTACGTGTGGAACGTGTTGCCAGCGGGCTGCGTAGGTGCACGATGGTGTTTCGTTGGGTATGAGCTGCTGACCAAATCAAGGATATGGATTTTTTGTTGAGCTCTGTTTGGTTTGCAGCTAATTCACATGCCTATTTTTTTCACTAATTCCAACTGCCCAGCGGTTGGCTTGGTATTGACATAGAGATTTCAAGACGACATTTTTTTTTTGATAAAGGACGCTTTTATTATCTCAGAAACATAGCATCAAATGAATACAAAGCATTATGAGTAACACCTAGCCTAGCAGTATTTTATGAAGAGGGATAAAAGAAGAACCCTTGTTCCTAAATAAAGAGAGAAAATGTACCTGCAATGAAGCTGAAAAATCAGGCGCTTAAAGGACGGACTTGAAAAGGGTTTTGAGATGGACTAGCGACGTCCTACACACGACGAAGACTCGTCCTCGTCGATGTCCCTGCTGTCAGACTACTTACCCACCCCTCTTCCCTCACACATTAGAGAATTGCCATGCTGCCACAGAAAAGCTTGCAAAAAAAATTGTTTAGAACTTGTTGTACTGCAACATAGAGAATTGCCATGCCACAGAAAGAGAAAAGTTCCCACATGACTTTAGGAAATGCCATGCTACAAGAGGTTAATTATCATGCTACATCATAGAAAATTTGCCATGCTATAGAATAGAGATTGAAATGCTACAACATAGAGAATCGTCATGGTACAGTGCAGAAAGTCATCACCATGTTCAGAAATTGCGGATGCTATATCAGAGGGATATGTGGTATTTTTCAGTAAATGAGCTGCCATGCTATAGCATATATAGTTGCCAGGTGTACGTCTAAAGAAACAGAAAAATTGTCATGCTATCGCTAACATAGTTGCAAACTTGTAATGTGCAAAAGGCCTAAAAAACTGAAATTGTCATGCTCAAGATAGCCACTTGTTCAGGATTTAAATGGACAAAAACACAGAAAGTTGCTATCTGAAAAAATGGGATTGGGGGCAGATAGAGCAGCAATGCTGGGAGGATGCTATGTCACGGAAAAAATAGAATCGGAGCAAACGATTATGTCCTCGCACCAAGATTCGCGCACAATCGGAGGAGTGGTGTTGCATTCGCACCATAGCAGCTTGAGATAGGGCTGGGAAAAACTTGAAGATGTTCATCTTCTTTCCGTAGTTTGATGCACTTGAGAAGAGAGATTAAAGCAATGGGAAAGCACCAGGTCCATGGCCTGCAAGTATTCTATGCCTAATTCACTTGTGTCTGATTCAATCGTGAGAGCTGAGAATAGAAAGGGTGACGGAAAGACAGAGGAGAGCACAAAATTCACCAAATTGCGGGCGAAGGATTCATGTAGGGCCTCCTTGGTTTGCAGGATTCAGTACCGCGGTGGCCACTGATCAGGAGTTGGTGAGCTCCAGCACAAACAAGGCACGACTAAGCCATATAGCTGAAATAGGCTCTTCTTGTTAAAATACGGAAAAATAGACAAGAAAAACAACGCAAACAGGCAAGGTCAGCAAAATCCACTGCAATGCAAAATAAAGCCTGAGAAACTTAACAGTCATCGATATCAGAACATGGGGATCCATTCATGAAGGAACAAAAAACTACTAGCAGATTAGCAAGGAGAGCAGTAATCCACCACAATGCAAAACACAATCCGGTGATCCATAACAGTCATCAAATTCAGACTTACGACTCCAGTCTATACCTTTGAATTACTCAAAAGCGAAATCTAATCCGCACCTGGAATCTGAAACACTCAAAAGACCAAGAACAACCTGTATGAACGAGCTATGAAAACTAATAACAGCAGAACATCTTTACTGAACTAACCCATTCAGCTAGCATCTCTTAACCTAACACTATTTGATCGAACCAGCGATCACGCTCTCTTGCCGCAAAAACATTCTTACCATCAACAAGACGCAATTTGCCAATTCTAGGATGCTCGCGTTGTCACCGATTTCGGGTGATCATCGATACAGTTTCAGGTAAGCTCATCCATCAGTCGATCAGGTCCATTATTGCCTTGGTCACCTCCCTGCCAAGGTCGCTGCGGTGTAGCTCCACCTTCATCTGCTGTACCCTCTGCTTCTTGATCTTCTCGTCCAGCAAGCGTGCCTTGTTGTCGTCCATCTTTCCGAACTCCCGCTTGAACATGCTCTTCTTCACCTCCTCTGCAAGGTACGGGTACAACTCACACATCTCCTCAAATCCCTTGGGCTCGTGGTTGTTCGCCTTGGCAGTGGCAGCAGCAGCAGTAGAAGCGGTGGCAGCGCGGCCCTGTACTTGTGGCCGCTCCAGACGATCTTGCAGAGGTCGAAGAGCCGGCGGTCGTGTTCTTTGGTCGGGAGCTCGTACTTGTTGGCGGCTGACACATACCGATGCTTGAGGCTTTTGACCTTCCCCTGGAGCTCCTTGCTGCTGTAGGCACGGTTGTCGAGCTTTCCGGCGAGGGCTTCGACCAGTGCGTCGGGCTGCGGCAGCACGCCGTGCTCCTTTTGGTGAGCGGCGAGGGCCTCAAGGATACGGACCTCGTCGTTGGTGGACCAGACGCGGTGGAAAGCCAGGCGCGGCTTCTTGGCATCCGGGGCCTTGGCCTCCTGCTTCGGAGATGGCTTCGGCGGCGGCGCATCTTTGTCAGATTCGGAACCCCCATCCTCCTCCTCGTCGGAACTGTCGGAGTCCTCGCTCTGTCGCGCCGGCGGAGGCTGCTTCTTGGGGGCAGTGTTCGGGGCCGCGTGGGATGGCTCCTCCTCCTCCTCCTCGTCAGAGGTCTCCGACTCTTCGCCCTTCTGCGGCGGCGGAGGCGGGTTCTTGGGGGCAGGGGTACGAGAGACGGCGATGGTCTCTTCGTCCTCGGACTCGTCTGCGCCCGAGTGGGTCTCCTCAGAGGAGGCAGCCGGCGGCGGTGGCGGCCTCTTCTCGCCGCGCTTCTTGGCCATGGTCGGAGAAGTAGGGTGAGCCTTTGGGAGAAGAGGTGGGTGGCGGCGCCGGACAAGGTGGGGTTTCCCTTCTTCGGGTATCGGGACATCGGGTGTCTTTTCCTCAAGACACAGTCGGCCTTATAAGTCTCAGGTGGGCTTCCTCTTTCTATTGGTTTCGGTCGGCCTTATTCATGCATTTTCGTGTCAGTATTATATCCAGCCCAACCCAAATGTTGAAATAACATTTTCTCCTTTCCAGTTTAAGATCAAGAAAATAAATGTTTAAGATGAATTCTGTTCAAATTCCTTCCAAGAAAAAGAAACAAGACCAGCTAAGACTAGCCATTGGTTTAAGATGAATTCTGTTCAAATTCCTTCCAAGAAAAAGAAACAAGACCAGCTAGGACTAGCCATTGGCGGCATATTTTAATAGGAGAGGCAACCTGAGCACCCTGACGAGCCCAAAGTCCCGAACATGGGTGGGCAGCGCGCACAACTACATAGCCTGCCAACAGAGCAACGCTCTGTACTTTGTTTGATTCGTACCCTTTCGCTCGGGCGAACCAAGAGCGCTCAACTAGGGTTTACCCTCCCTATCGATGGTGTCGCTGCTGATCTGTCTCGTCTCCTGTGGTCCTAGGACCATGGAGGCGCGGTGGATCCCAGCCTTTGTTGGCCAGAGGGCTCCGCTTTTAGGTGTTTTTTTAGTTTAGGGTTTGTGACATGTTTAGGAAGACGAATCGATGGCGACTTCCTAAAGATGAAATAAAGTTCTCCATGTGAAGCCCCCGCCCCGGTGGTGCTTTTAACGTCGTCGGAGGGGCGTGTGGAGGTGTGTCTCCAGCGAATCTCATGGATCGCCCAGTGTTTGTCTTCAGTGGATCCACTTGGAATCGGTCTTTTTGTTTGCGTCCGTGTGTCTGTAGGTTGGATTCTTCATATCTATGCTTCTGTTCATTGATGGTGGTTGTTGTTCTGGTGCGTTGGTCGTATGGGGCCTTAACACGATGACTTTCTGACTGTCTACTACAACAAGGTTTGCCCGCTCCAATGAGGGAGGGAGATGATGACGGCGCGTCTTCGGCTCGCTTCAATGCTTATAGTCGTCACTAGGTGGTCCATGGACCTAATTTTTTTTACTTCTACTAGTGCTCTTTATGCTACCTCGAGAAAGAGCAACACTCTGTCCCCCTTCTCAAATTCCTTCCACATCTATCATCCAAAGAAAACATTATATCGACGTGCAGTAAGCATAGCAGGAAGCACCACATAACTGATGTGGTAAGGGCATCTCCAATGCCAACCCTAAAATGGACATTGTATTTTTCCACGGATAGGTCCGCAGACACTGAAGGAGCCGACCATCCAACCATGTATGCATACATTTGAAAGCAAATTTGAACAAAACGAATGAATTTCATGCAAACCAGATAATGTTCATTTAAACTAGACAGAATTCATTACATTTTTGATATATTTCAACTAAACAAAAGCGTCTGAAAGCTAATCTAGAATCTTCACCGGTGGTCATGAGCCCCGAAAAGCGTTCAACCTCCAAGTCCTTGTTGTTCCTCTCTGTGTCCATGTCTGGCGGCTGTGAGTCCCGAAAAGTGAAGGTGCGGTCACCAGCGAAGAAGAGGACATGTGACACAGACTGGCCCACATGGGACATGAGGCACCGCCGTCGCGCACGCCCTACTCCTCCTTGTCGGAGTCTGTGACCTGGCCATCACCAGTGGAGGTGAGGTCAATGATGGACGTGGACGGGTCGGCCACACGGTCGAAGCAGTGCCAATGGGGACCAATTGACGACGTGAACGACGCGTATTTGCTGCTCTCGATCGGTGCGACTATTCAATGTCGGAGCCAGTGAGAGATCGTGCCCGCTCTACGCGGGCATGAATGCAACGTGGTGCTTTGGAGCGGCATTGAGCGGCATGAATGTGTGGCAACCGCTTTGCGCTGGAACGTGCGTGGACGCGAGAGAGTTCTGTGGCTGGGTTCGAGATGTCCGCGCATACGTGGCAGCGGTCTGGTCACCCGCAAAGCCCCCTGGTTTGCCTTCGGTTGCAAGAAACAGACGTCCGGACCAGTCCATGGATCGATGGGTATCACGTTGGACGACAAATCGCGCCCGAACCACGGTCCGGACGAATGCAGGAGGTTTAGATGTCCATGTTGGAGATGCCCTAAGGTATCTAAAAATAAGTTTAACAGGAAGCAACTGAATCTCTCATGGTAAATGAGTTAATTACCTTGTCTCGTTATGTTATCACGGACACGGTATCGCTAAATTTATGGTGAGACATATTCTTGCTAAAAGATCATCTCTCAATTAAGAGAAGGCAAACTTTTTCTTATTGTTTCTCTCTTCTCCATCTCAATATTTATCTTACGTGGCACTTCCATTGTACACGCCCAAAGAGAGAGAGAAAGAAAAAAACGCTTATGTTAGCACCACGGGTTCAACAGCTTCACCGATCTTAAAGTGTTATTGGTGATAAAGAGCGCCGTTAAGGGTCTGTTTCATAATCGTTCTCATCGTGGCATGGTTACTCTCCTTTGAGACATGTTGAATGCAGACTTTTTGAGTACATGTAACTTCAATTGTTTGGTAGCCTATATTGCTGAGACATGTTGTCCTAAGATTTTTTTGGTAGCCTGCATCGGTTAGGCTTACTAGGCTGAGACTATGTTTGGTAGCATGTATATGAGGTAGCCTGCATCAATGGAGTTTTTAGTGCCAATACAACATTTGACCAATAATTTGACTATAGGTAAATATGAAAAAACATATTTCTACACTAAAAATAATTTTGGTAATAAAACATCACCATTTCAACATGATCTCAACAACAAAAATAGTCAATTACAATAAGAAAAAATAGCGATGCTCCATCTCAGAAACTTTATAAGAAGCAACATATACATTGCAACATTAGCAATGCTTCATCTCTAAAGTTTCTAAAGGCATATATACATAGACATCCAATTCACCATGTCTAAATTCTATAAAAAGGCACATATACATAGATCAAACACTCAATTCAGCATGCTAAGCAAACTCTATTGAGCACATTCAACAAAACCATAGAACAAATTAGCAACATTGTTCTGCATCTTGCCTATGGGAGGAAATGAGTTTAACATTCGTTGTGCCTACAGCTAGCTGACAAAATCAGAGAACATTTTAGCTGATAATGTTGTGTCTCAACTAGCTACATGTGCGAGAGCTCGTCATGGAGCTGGGGCAGAGGAGGACATCATTGCGGAGCTTGGGCAGAGGTGGACGCCGGCAGGGCTCCACCTGGGCGACAACGAGGAGGGCGCTAGCAGGGTGGCGCTTCACAACCGACAGATAGGGCGTGTAGGTCGGGGCGCCTTTGCTGCTCGGTGCCCCTCGCCTTTGGCGTCAGTAAATGCAGGTGCTCCCCATGATACTGGCTCTTGTAGCGGATGAACTACGTTTTAACCGATTAGGAGCAAGGTTACTAGGTATTTATTCCAAGTAGTTCATTTGAAATCATTTCTCAAATGTATGAATTACTCACTCCATCCCATAATATAAGGGCATCAATTTTTGTAACAATCAAATATATGTATGTTTGACAAAGATTAATAATATATGTAAATATTTTTCATGATGGGTCTAATGATACAAATTTGGTATTGTATATATTTGGAATGGAGGAAGTAATAGTCATGCCAAGACATAGCGGCCAAAAGGGTTAGATCACTAACCAAGATCGTCAAGGACACAATAGTGTTTTAGTTTTTGAGTTGAGGACAACATAGTGTTGAATGGCAATTCTTGTCCATGTCATAGAGGTGAAACAAAAACGATAAACGAGTGAAGTGTTGATTCAACTTGATCGTGGCATCGAGGCATTTATCCTCCCGCCATAACGTTATGCGCCATAAGTGGTGTTTAGCCTATTGTGATGGAGAAGCTGTTTAAAAAGGTTGGCTTCTGTTTTTTGCTCTTGATCTAGATGATTGAATCATTTTGTTCTTGAACATATTGGGCGGAGATCTCTTTGTAAGCACCTCAGGAGGTGAAACCCAGCCTTTGAAGACTTATTTGTGTTGGAAATATGCCCTAGAGGCAATAATAAATTGATTATTATTATATTTCCTTGTTCATGATAATCGTTTATTATCCATGCTAGAATTGTATTGATAGGAAACTCAGATACATGTGTGGATACATAGACAACACCATGTCCCTAGTAAGCCTCTAGTTGACTAGCTCGTTAATCAATAGATGGTTACAGTTTC